ACCACTGATGCAAACTGAACCAGCTCTGCATTTCAAAGAACTGAAATCATTCAGACCTTGTTCTCTGACCACAATGTAATTAAGTTAGAATTTGAAAACCAGAAGATAACTGGGGTGTGGGGTGGGGAATCAAACACTTAGAACCATAAAAAACACTCCAATCAGCTCGGCTTAGAGGCCAGAGAAAATAAACACAGGGTCCACCTAGAAGTGAGGGGTGATGATACCTGGCAGTGGGAAGCTATGGGGACACAGGCAGAGGAACTGCGACTGATAGGTGCCACGTCCAACATGATCTGGAATGACCGAATATGCCCAAGGGCAGGGCTGAAGAATGTGGCTGACACTCACATACCAGTCTCCAACAACTACAAAATGTTCATCAGACAAGTATGTAGATATTTTTCACATATGTAGAGATTAAAGTTAAAAGTCTAGAAAAACATGCCCCCATCCCCAAGCCCAGCATGCAGAGTCCAGACTAAAGCAGCTCAGGCCAAGTGTTTGAGGAACAAGAGGCCCAGGTTTCCTGCCTGAACCCCCAGCCCTGCAATACAACAGCAAAGAAGAGGTTAATTCATGCCCGGACTTAGCCTCTGAGCAGAAGAGCAGGGACCTTTTCTGCAGCTTCTAGCCCCTCAATGTCACCAGCAAAACTACGTGGTAGGAAGCTTGGGTGCCAGTCAACTGCAGCCCAAAGTCTGACCCAGTGGAGTCAGCGAGACACATATCACAGTTGGTTACCTTAGAACTATCCCTCTTTGAGGTGGAGTCTCACTAGGGAGCCAAAGTGGTCTTCAATTCCTAGGCTCAAGTGAGCCTCTTGTCTCAGCCTTCTGGAGAGCCGAGACTACAGGTGTACACTGCCACAGCAGGCTTTACTTCATTGCTTTGATAATAAAGGGAACACAATTGATGTATATACTATACATACACGAACACACATATACAAATAAGAGTAAGAAAGCCTGTGTCAGTCAGAGAGAGGCAATAAACACATTTGTCAAAACCCAGCACCCATTCACAGTCCAGTTCGTCCCCCACAGACATGGAAGGAATTTCACCCAGTGAGAACCTGTCACTACTCAGTTCCATCCAAAGTGACCTGCTTCATATGACAAGTCTGGGTCCCAACGAGTGCCAATAACAACGCAGCCCTCCAGCTTTCTTGTTGCCATGCCCTCTCTGGCCCTTCCAGGGTTGGGCTCCAATTCATGGCCTGCTGACACGGTCTGTCCACTGGCTCTGACCACCTCTTCTTGTCCCTCTGATGTCTCTTGTGGCCTGAATATTTTGTCCATCTTCTACGTTCTCATCTGGCAGAGCCCCAGCCTATTCTAAATGTTTCCCAACTGAGTGTGGCCACAGTAGTTAAAAGAGCAAGCTCAGGTGGGACCTCTGTGTGCGAGGCATCTGTCTGCTGCTGTGGACCCTCCATTGCTCTCTGTCCTCACTAGGCTCCACACACAGGTTGCAAAGCCTGCACCAGGGCAGGGTGTGGAGCAGATGCTGTGGTGTGGTGTGCCTGAGCATGCATGTGGGGCCCGCCCATGCCTGCAGACAGACCTGGTTGCTCTTCCCGAGACTGGAGAGCTATATATGATCCTGGGGAACTGGGGGCTGGGAACCTATACATCGGACTGTATTGACACTTTTATCTTTGTCTCTCTGGGAATGCTGGCTTGGCCAAAGTAGAGAGGGGACTGTTGGGTACAGAGTGGCCCCATGGGGACCCACTCAGGGCCCTGTCTCAAGGACACTTCCTTGCTGCCTCCTTGTCCTAGGAACTTACAATGCTGATTTCCAGAGAGATGAGGGCAGCTCTTAACCCTATGCCTGCTGCTAATTACTCTGAGCCCCGACTGTGATCCTCAGAGGCAAAGAGGTCTCATGCTGACTTTTTCCTGCCTCCCTACAAGCTCTTGATGTGAGAAGAACCTCATGTTCTGCTCCAGTATGTACAGGCCCTCTTGGTACCCATGGAGATGACCCTACAGTTTTCTGACCAGCTGCCCCAGTGGCTCTCCTGAGGCCACGACTGTGGCACAACCAGGACTGCAGATGGATACAAGGCTGGGACTCTGCTCAGCACACTGGGCTGATCTGGGTAAGGGAGCCTTGTTATTACTTAACGACCTAAAATACTACGGGCTGTAAATCAGTCCCTGCTTCAAGGCTGTGGGCCCTACTCTGTGTGGAGGAAGGAGAGGGCCTGGGTACCACCTGTATCTAAGCCCAAACCTGATGGCTAGCAGCAGAGCCACCTCAGGGAGGCAGGAGTGAGCTAACGTCCCCGAGGTTCGCCAGGCACTCTCCAGTATGCTGTCCTCCGCAGGCATCCTACTGGTCATAGCAACCCCTCCCTGCCTGAGCCCTGGCCTGGGCTCAGGACCCTCCAGAAAGGCTCTCTGGCCACCAGTGGCTCTTACAGCTCATGACCTCAGGTGCCAGGAATGCTCGGCGCGGCACCATCTGGTTCTGATTACCCATGCTAGGCTGCGGGCGCCTCAGCCAGGGATCTGTGTCCCGAGTGGCTGGGAGATTGATTTGGGTTCCTCGGAGGCTTTAGCAGGAGGATGTGAGGAAAGCACGTCTGAACCAGTGGGGCGTGGGCCAAGGCGGGCGGCCATGTTCTGGTGCCATGGCACCAGCAAGGATGCTGTGGACTGGAGGCCATCTCACTGGCTCTCAGGTATTAAAAATGACCTCAAATAGCTTGCCCTGGCAAATTACCAGATGCTTCCTTCCCCGAGGCCTGGGCTATAAGACCGAGGATCTTTGGGGCTCTAAGGCCAGCACTGGACCTGACTCTGGGTTAAACAGCTCTGGGCCTTCATCAGATTCGTGAGTCATTCGCACCCTCCCAAGCAGGAAGGCAAGGCTCAGCAGGGGGCCTGGGGCTCCCTACCTCCTTTGATGTCTACTGCTGAGTCGGGCCCTGCCCACCTCACCCCAACTACTTCCAGGCTGCAGTTCCTAGCTCCCCTTCTGCTTTAACTTTTCAATTCATTAGTAGAGTAAAAGTGCATCTCTGGACTGAAACATGCCCATAAATTAAGTCTTAAGTTCCAGCAGCTGTTTCCCAAACATGTAGGGAGATTCCAAGAAGATATGAGCTGGAAGGACTTTTCCCGGGTGCAGGATACGAGAGTAGGAGATGCCCAGCTCTTGCAGGAGGGGCCTAGGTGTCCATCCTCTGCCTTCAGGCTGATGAGTCAAGCCACAAGAGGATGGATGCTGGACCCCACAGGGTGGTGCCGCTACCCTTTACCAGGCCTCAGAGGCAGGAAGGGTGTGTGAAGGAGACCCCCAAGCCTACTTGCTGGACTCAGCACCTAGTGAGGTGGGGACTCAGGACATACAGATGCAGTGGTCGAGTACTGTGTTTTCCCTTATGCTCACATGCAGGGCATGGTTCTGGGGGCTTAGGAGCTCTTCTGCAGGTTCGAGACCCTTCCCTTTACAGGAAACTTGTGGGTCTCTCAGACATGGAGGGAAGGATGGATGGACATACAGGACAGTTTTACTCTCAATCCACTATCTGCCCAGCGCAGCTGGACCCTAGAGATGGTTAATGCTTAGTGCTATGGGTATGTGCCCGCCTTACCGCTGGGTCTCACTGCCCACCTTCCCTTTTCTGCTAGGCATTGTTGGTGGGGAGGCCAAGTTACCTATGCTGTCTCTACTTTCCTGGATCTGCCCCTACTTGGCTACAGTCACTATGCCCAAGCCATGGCATATGGTCTTTGGGTACCTCTATGGTTCTATTCCACATCAGCTTCCTTTTGATCTGGGACTTCTTCTGCCCCTTATTTACTGTCCACAATCAGTCCCTTTCCCAGAATGGCCTCATAAGGCCCTAATTTCTACCCTGGGTTTAGTGATGCCCTCAAGAACCTGGGTGGCACCTGGCACCAACCTAGCCCTGACTTTCCCCACCACACCCCTCAGGAACTGGGGTAAGTCATTTAGACCTGGGCCTGATGTGCACAAAGCAAACCCTATCCTTGGCTGCAAGATCTGAGCAGGGCGGTGTGAGTGTGCTGAGCAAGGTACCTTCCCACTTTGGGAAAGTGCAGTAATGACCTCTGATGCCTCCTATTGGGTGGAGACAACCTGGACCACCATGCCCCCAAAGAAGAGTTGCATGGCCCCCCATTGACTTTATTGCTTTAGCCAATCCAGTGAGACTGGGAGCTGGGCTACAGCCATATGATATTCCATAGGGCACGTGGCTCTCCCACCAGGGCTGTTTCCACTGTTTGGCCAAGGCCAGCCAGGTCTGCTTTCTGAGACTCCAGATAACAGGCGCCTTTCCTGCCTTTAGTCAGTGTATCCAGACCACCTGTGGTGTCTTGGTAGCCTACAGTCTGCCAGACCTGTACAAAACCAAGTCCTGGATATATATATTTCACAACCCCTGCCATCATTTCTCCAGCCCAAATGGGGAACAAGCCAGCTAGGCCCATTATGCTGCACTCTAGGGGACAGAGGCAATCCTGGGGCCATACAGGACATTGTGGAGTTGTCTCCAGCAGGCCTTGCTCCTCCAAGGCCTTATTGCCTGGTGGGCTTTCCTGTGCTCTGTGAGCAACAGTGTCCCTAGGACCAGCTTACAGATCCACCAGGCCATTGCTTTGCAGGATTTGCCATAACTTTTCTTTTTCTTTTCTTTCTTTTTTCCTTTTTTTCCCCTTTGATTAATCAGTTCCTTACTGACCAAATTCCTCTGAGTTTTCACAAAGGAGTTTGGTCTGCCTGGACACTACGTGCCTTTTTTCTAGATGGACAAGACTTGATGGCTGTTAACCCGAGGTCCAGGAGAAACCCAAACCATGTGAATGGTGAGTTCACGCCCACTGGCCCCTGCTCCCTACTGCCTCCGAGTGATTAATTAGCTAGGGAACTGCAGCCACTCCTCTTCATGCCTAAATATTGTTTCGGCCTATCAGACTGTTAGTGCAGAGCAGGATAAATGAGGCCCGGGCCTGTGCACTGACCTGCAGGGACTGCTGGCCGTCCAGACTCCAGACAGCTAGTACCTTCCCGGCAGAGCCTGAGACGCCCTTGGCCTTCTGAGAGTCGAAGTCAAGGCCCATGACAGGTTCTTCATGGCAGGCGATTCGGCTGCACACCTTCCGCTCTGAGATGTCCCACAGGGTTACCGATCCATCCTCATAGCCAGCCAGAAGGAGTGGGCGGGGACTGGAGTTAGTCTGTAGGGAACGGCACAGTGGTTGGCTCCCAAACAGTCTTGTCTTCACTGAACTTTAAGACTGCAGGATCAGCTCTCTCTCCAGCCATGCCCACAACGGGGGTGTCCTGGTCACAGCAAGAGTCCCTTTGCTTTCCATGTAACCTATCAGGCTTCCACATCCCTCTCAAGGGGCTGGCAGGGCCGCTGCTCAGTACCTGAGGAGCTGGGGGTGGAGTCTGAGCCCCCAGAACTCACACTGTCATGCATTTTCACCTACACTGGATCCTGTCCAAAGCAAGGATGACATAACACCCACTGGCACCCACCCATCAGCACCCTGGGGCAGCCAGGGATGGACTCAGACTTCTTATCTCCTCCAGATGTAAGACTTGAAGTCCCTCCTGGCTGAGACTAGTCATCTTCTAGAACCCGAGGCAGGAAAGTTGCAAGCTCACGGGGATGGACTTTCTGGGCTTTGTTAACATAGCTGCAGGAGCCCCCCACCCCCTTTGGAAGTTTGGTGTGAGAGGCCCTCACTATCATGATGGATGAGGGCGAGGGTCAGAGGGCTCTGCGCCCTGGGCTGACGCTCGTTTATTTAGCCTCTGAAACAACTACAAAAGAAGAGTGCTTCAGGATTCCAAGTCACCCTCAGGGACATGCCATCAGTCCCTGTACGGCACAGCAGCCCAAGAGAAACTGCACAGGGCTGAGCAAGGAGGCCTGGGCTAGCCAGAGGCCTACGACATGCATCTAACAAACAGCACAAGGGCCAGAGCTCTCTGGGTTGGGCTGTGGCTGAGGTGTGGTGTAGTGTAAGCTTGGTGGAGGGGTGGGGGCAAGGCACACTGTAGACTAGCATCTGGGAAGATGGCAATGATAAGGAAAGGACGACACAATGACCAGATTTTCCGCAAGAACAGTGAACTTGCCAAGGCCAGAGCTGCCACCAAGGGCCCCTATATGTCCAGAAATGGCTTGTAAATGGGTGTATCCCACTGGTGATCCAGATTTACATATACAGAATAGGAAGGAGCGGGGCTCCTGGGAGGAGACATGACGTTTCCTGTGTTTCCTGGGCAATTTACTTTTCGTATCATCTTCCATCCCTCCCTGCTAGGGCCAGTGTCCACACTGTGTCCTTTGACCACAGCCTTAAGAGGCAGTGCCCAGTGCCCGCAGAGTGGTTCTGCTTGGCTCTGCAGGAGCCCTGGCTGCACCGCTGCACTGCCCCTGAGTTCTGTCACAGGAGGAACTTGCTGCTGGTGTTTCTCAGGTCATCTGCTTGGAAGTGGTTTGTGCAGGCCTACAGTGTTTGCTGCTGTTTAGACCAGGACAGGGGCAGCACCAGGCTCAAGAATCCCAGAACCCTCTGCACCCCAACCAGGAATACAGACCAATTGTTGCCACTCTTAATCACCACCCACAGCATGGGCCCCTGGTAGATGCTACCCTAGAAGCCCATTTAGAGAACCCTCTCACTACTTGTCTAGGGCCCCAGCAGTGATCTGTGGTGACATCTATACCCACCTCTACAGCTCTGGCTACGCTGCCTTCTTCCCCCTGCAGCTTTCCTTGTTTGTTTGTTGTTTTGTTTTGTCTTGAGTCGGGGCAGTTCAGAGTCCTCATCATTGGTGTCAGCTCTAACTGGCTTGTACAAAGCTTGTGACTGAGTTCTGAGCAACACAGATTATTCAGGAGCTACTAAATAAGGTCCCTCTGCCATGGTACCAAGGGTGGCCAGCTCAGGAGCCAGATGGCCTAGGAGGTATGTCTGGTCTTTCAGCCCCGGCCAGTTACCACCATAGTGTAGCCCCAATCACGTCACTCTACTGGATCTCCCTGGTTCCTGTAGCCTTCAGTGACAGGCACCACAGGCTGCACAGTGTCCCTGGTGGTCACAGCCTTGACGCTGCAGGACTGAGGATAAGAAGTCACCCTGCCTTGCCTTCCCTAGCAGTTCCCCTCGCCTTCAGCGGGGACCTAGACACAAAGATTGGTCTGGTAGCTTCTCTGGCCCTTTGAAATAAGCCTGAGAGATAGTAGCAGACCAGGCCTATAGGAACCCCAGTGGTGTGCACAGCTCAGTTGAGAGGCCCCAAGACTCAGACGGGAACTTTCTGTGAGGGTGGGTACTGGTGATATTACAGCCTACTGTCCTGTGATTATTACTGTGGCAATGCAGGACTGCTACTTTAGAGCATAAGCTAAAGATGGGCAAGAGTGTTTCAGAAGATGCACCAGGTCAGGATACTTTCCACACTCACACCAGTGAGCTCATACCCTAGGACTTCTGGATTTAGGAGAAAACAAAGAGCATTACTATAACCAGAGGCTTGTTGCAGCTGTGAGCTTCACATTGGATCTGTATCACCAACAAAACTGTGATTTGTCCTTCTGTCAACCATATTAATTACCGTAACAAGTTGGTACATCCCTTTCTACACTTCTCTTCTCTGATGGAATTTTTACACGATTGGGCAGAGACCCACGTTTTCCAGGGTACAGAAGAGGAGTGGTGCAGCCACAGGTGCCTGTGCCAGGCCTGTGTGTACCATGGTCACCTCCTTCGGTACTTCAGTGTGAGTAAAGTCAGGAGGCAAGATGAGGACACACTTATTTTCCCAGTGCCCAGACACTCTCGAGAAGCTCCATCAGGACAGTGAAGCCAAGAACTAGGCTCTGCCCCTGAGTCAGGCTGCAAACTCATGGGCCCAGGAGCTCTGTCAGCTAGGCTCTCAGGAGCCTTGGCTCTCCAAAGGCTTTCCTCCAGGAAGCTGCACAGCAAAAGCTGAACACTAGGATCAGCTTACTCAAGACTTCAAATCTAAACTTAACCCTCTCAGTTAAGAAACTGCAAGAAGCCGGATGGTGGTGGTACACCTTTAATCCCAGAATTCAGGAGGCACAGGCAGGCGGATCTCTGTGAGTTCGCGGTCAGGCTGGTCTACAGAGAGAATTCAGGACAGGCACCAAACCTACACAGAGAAATCCTGTCTTGAAAAAAAAGAAGAAGAAGAAAGGAAGAAAGCAAGAAAGAAACTGCAAGAGCTGGAGGGATGGTGGCACGGTGGTCAAGAGCACTGGCTGCTCCTACAGAGGTTCCAGGCTTGGTTCTTAGCACCTCTATGGCAGCTACAATACTCTATAGCTCCAATCCCAGGGGATCTGAAGTTATCTTTTGACTTCCACAGGCACCAGGCACACAAGTGGTGCACAAACATTCATGAAGCCAAAATACTCATACGTATAAGATAAAAATAAAAAATAAAGCAAGAAATTGCAAGGAAAGCCAGTTGAAAGAAGGCCAGACATCTTTCTGCCTTCCGTCCTGAGAGAACCTCTGGGGTAGGCACAGAGGTGCCCTCCCATGCTTTTGTGGGTCATGCGGGCGATTCCAAACTGAATCATGTGGTCATGCCCACTTCACCTCACATTTAAAAGTGTTCAAGGAGGCAGCAAGCCACGAGGGAGAAATCACCAATGAGAACTAAGAAGATGGCAAAAGGGTTACAACCCCTCCCCGCATGGACGCTGCCCTGTGACCCGCCCACTGTGGTGTCTGTACCTGTTAAGACTGTGAGGCTTCCTGGATTTTCTGCAATGACACAGTAAATAGAGACCCAGGAGTAAAAGATGCTGACCTGGACACCTTGAGAAGGGTCTGCGCCTGTTTCTGTGTGAAGGGAGGGACTCCAGACCTTAGGCTGTGATGACTGGGTCTTAGCTTTTGCAGCAGCCCCAGGAGAAACGACTATCAAGAACAAAGGAAATGGCTACAGTTTAGACTTCCCTGGAATGGCCACGGGGAAACTGTCATGCTAACGTTCCTGAGACCTCTGTAAGGTGGAGAAGTGGAAAGAGCGAATGCCCAGAACAGTGAGGGCCACGCAGGCTTGTTGACATCAGTTAGCAGAGGCGAGGACCAAGGTGCTGAGGAAAAGGGCATGTGTTCTTCTGGGAGCAAGCTCCACAGCTGACCTAACTGTCCCGTCCTCACAGTCACATCTGGGCACTGTGGAGCAAGCCGGCCAGGGCCTGTGGAGGGTGATTTCCTTGCTGTGTTTCCAGCAGGAGCCCAGAAGAAGCCGATGTCCAGTCAGTGTTGGGCCCCAGAAGACAACAGGTACATGTTCTCTAAAGGATAGTGCCCATAGGTTTGATGACAAATGCAACCGAGTGGGGCATGACTCAGGGCTGTCGGGTGTGGCTGGCGCACGCTGTCTTACCTGCCACAGCCCCAGGCACATGGGCATGCCTGGCTTGGCATCTGCCTCCGGCTTCAGGGTGCACACTGACGTCTTGGATGGCATCTCCAGAATCTGAACCTGACAGTGAGAAAACAAGCTGATTTGGGCTGATGCCAAGCCGAGTCTATGCTATGCAAACAAGAGACGTTTAAGGCGATTAGCCAAGGCTGCTGTGAGTTTCTGTCTGCTCCTTTCCCTGCAGGGACCTGAGAGCAGAGCCTTCTAATTAGTTTGCACAGGCTAAAGGGCTTAGATGCTCCTGGGGTCCTTGCAAAACAAATGCTCACATCATTCCTGAATGACCAGCCCTTCACCAGCAAGCAGTTATGGCACACCTTGCCCCAGTTTGTCATTTGGGCAAAGCAGGCCTGGTTAACTTGGTCCTGCTTACTCTGCCCGTCCTCCCTCCTTCACTTGTCTCTCTTGCCTCAGTTAGAATCTGCAATGGCCTTCTTTGACCAATCGCAGGCATATAAAATGATGCAAAATCTTGTGTCGAAGGCCTGGGACTCATCCACTACCCACCTAGAAAATTACCACGTTGCCAGAGCTAAAGGCAGCTCCACTGAATCCTGGTTTCCTGGTACCGAAGAACCTGACTTACCAAACTAGACTACCTAGATGCCAGGCCTTTGTGTGCCTGGGCTGAGATGAGCCTTATGGGCTAGCTTCCCAGGTGGGTATGCAAATCCATGTGGACTGCTTATATGCTGGCCAGCACCATCCACAAGGACCAGACTAAACTGGGTCCCCAGACATCCTCTATCTAAGGTGCTAACCTGGTACCTTCATTCATTTGTGTCACCTCTCTGTGAGCTCAGCAGAACAGAAGGGCCCCACGTGACATTCTGTATCCCAGTACAAACCAAATGTTTTCGATGCCCTTTAACCGCCTGGGGCTCTACTGCACTTCTGTGCCTATTTGTACCTTCTGGTGTCATGTGAGCTGAGTGGATTCCGGAATCCTTGAGCTTCTCTAGGTACCAGCAAGAGAAATTCTCCATGGCAACTAGCAAGCGCGTGAATACAAGCCTGCTTAGCATGCCCAAGTCTGCACACAAGGCATCAGCGCTCCAAAGGGATGGAAGGTATAAACTAGACAGAATATACCCAGGATGGCCAGACTGGTACAATGTCTGAGAGGCCAGAGCCTGGGCAAGTAACAGCTGTGTTGTCCTTACCAACCCATGCCACAACCTTATCTGTCACAGTCACAGAGATGATTCTATGTCAGTCACCTGAGCTGGGTCCAGGGCAGCTTTCAGGCAGTGCAGAATGGCAAGCACACAACCTGGTCCTTTGGTTAGAGTCCTGCTGATATGCCCACTTCTGATAAATGGGGGCCAGGGTGTTCTCTGGCAGGGTAATCTCACCAGAATCCCCACAGTGATTGGACTTCTAAAGGCCAACACTAGTAATGGTTCACAGCCCTGTCTTATCCGCTGCTGAGTCTTATAGCCCCTGCCCTTGTAGTGGGAGAAAACTTGCTCAGGCCTTTGGGAGATAGACCGAAGAACACTTGGCTGCCTGTGGGAGATGATAAGGGAGAGTCCTAGGCCCTGGATGTAGAGGGCAAGGCAACAGGATGGATGTCGCAGCTTCAGGGACAGGTAAGCAGGACAGTGCCCAGAAGATATGGTTCTAAGGAGGCAGAGGAGTTGATGATTAGTCAGACTACACAGCAGACCACCCAAGGGCAGAGTGCCCAAGACATGGGGAGGGGGTATGTATGGAGGAAGGCGGGACAGAGGAAAACATGTAATAGGAGGTAGGACTGCCACAGGGGAAGCAGAGATGGACAGTGTGACAGGGGCCAGCAAGTGTGCGTTAGAGTTGCTCCCAGGCCAGAAAGGAAAAAACGGGAGGGAGATCCTATCCACAGTCCTGTCTCCTCAGGCCCATGGTCCTCCACAGCCAGCAGCACTGAGCAGGCAGCTCCTGCTGTTGCTGGCAGATCAGGCCCGTGTACTGGGTTAGGCTTGGCTCCTGCCCAAGAAAAGTCATTTTGTCTCCAAGCAGATCTAGTTCATAAATAATGAGATAGTAACAGGCATTTATTTGTTCATGATTGCATTTAAATCACCAATTAGGAGCTACATATACTTTTCTTGCCAGTTTGCCAAAAACCTGTTAAAAGTTTTATTAATGTGAGGGGTGGGGGAGTTGTTTCCGCCTGTACAGCAGGCCAGGCAGTGCCAGGTCACCCCAAGCCACAGACCCACAAGATGCCACTCTGAGGGTTAAGAGAGCTCAGTTATTCTCAGGCTGCTGATGAGCACAGTCTTCCTCTGTGGAGGTCACAGGTTCCTGCACAGTTTTAACCAGCTTCCTGGCTTAGCCTTCAGTGCAGGTGGTGCTGGATTTTCAAAACAGTTTTTATTCTCTCTCTCTCTCTCTCTCTCTCCCTCCCTCCCTCCCTCCCTCCCCCTTCTCCCTCTGCGTATGTGTACAGCTTTTATGACACAGATCTCTCACCATGTGCAGTCTGGAAATTGAACTTAGGCTGTCAGGCTAGGCAGCAAGCACCTTTACCGCTGAGCCATCTGAACAGCCGGACGTTGTATTTTCAGAAGCTACCAGCATATCCTGAGCAAATGGTTGTTTTCCAGTCTGCCAGGAATCTGCCTAAACTGGGCCCTGGAAAAGCACAGCTGGCTTAGGCCCAAACAATGCCTGAGAGCATGCTCCCACCCCTCGCGGCCGTCTGGGTGGCCACACTTGCCCAAACTTAGCATTTTTCCTTCTGGAAACAAAAGTTGGCAGTGGGTGCCAGATGGAAAGCTCCAGTGTCTGTAGGAGGCTCCACGCTCAGGAAGGCTAGGCACTGCTCTTCTGGCTCCCAGAGGCCTGGAGAATCAGGCTAGGCAAGGTAGTTGCCCTGGGTCTGACCCTGGGAACCTGCTTTTCTGATGTAGGATGGATGCTGAGCTTTCTACACTCTCAATGCAAATCCCAGATTGGGATCCTAGACAGCCCTAAGTTCACCAATAACTCCCACCTGAGACCCCTTACACTCCAGCCTCTGTCTTCCTGAGTTCTCAGGTAGGGACAGTCCTTGTCATGGCCTGTGGGCTCTGCAGATTTTGTATCTGTGACTTCTGCCTCCTCATGCACCATCACTTCCAGAATGTACATGTATTGAGTTGAAGCACAATCCTCACCTTTTGGCTGCTCATCACTGGCCATGCCTTGTACCCATAGCTCTGCATACAGGGTAATGGCAGTTCTATAGGAAGAAGCCTGAGACAGGGCTAGTTTACTCTTACAGAAAGCAGAGGGTTCTGGTTTTGGATCCATCTCCTGGGACTCCCTGTTGCTCAAGCCTCACTGCTGCTGGGTTGCCATTTTCAAATGTCTTTTTTCCCTGTTCCTTTCCTTTTTGCCAGTTTGTAGAACAGCCTCGGATTTCACAGAAGCCTCGGATGCCCAGGAGTTCCTCTGAACCTCTTCTTACCTCCAGACTTGCTCTCATTCTGGCTTTTGAAATGTAGGCTTTATCCTCCCTTCCCTGGCCACTCCCATGCTCATTCAGCCTCCAGAACCTGCATTTTCAAGAGCTCCACCCGTGTGTGAATTCCCCTGTTGCTTCACTGTACTGGTGTCTCTGCTGCCTCTTCCAACAGGCTAGCAGTGCATCCAGGCCCCCAATTTCTGGAGGTCCCTCTCTGTATACAGCCATGCATGTACATGAATATGTAAATAGACATGCTTGCTTGTGTGTGTGTGTGTGTGTGTGTGTGTACAAACACTCAGGTCTAGACACAGCCCTGAGTGGCTCTCCTCCAGGAACAGCATTATGCTGAGTATCAGGTCTGCCTGAGCCCTTCCTGATTCTCACCATTGCCCTGGAAGGCTAAGAGCTCACAGGTGACCAGGCTGAGCATCAGCCTGAGGCTGTTGGAGCTGCAGTGAAGCAGGTAAGTTGCAGACCTGACAAGAGTCCTGTGGTCCTCCTTGCTGGGAGAGGACAAGTGTGTCTGGTTAAGACAAATCCAGAGTCATTAATGCATGAGGGCTGGTCCTTACCTCACTGTTGCCCTTCCCAGGCACAGCAAGCATCCAACATAGCTGTCCCCTGGCCAGGATAGAGCTCTTGCAGAAGCCCACACTGTCCAACTGAACTTCATCCAGGATGGTATTCCTGCCCTCTGCCAAGTCCCACAGGCACAGCCGCAGGTCCCGGCCCTGGCTGATGAAACAAGGGGAGGGGGTCTATGAGACACTGTGAGCATTATGTACCCACTTGAACTGGTATCTGGCCTATAGCCCTTCCAAAGAAGGCCAGGTAAGCTTTGCACCATCCAGCCTCAGTTGAAGAGGACTTCTCCCTCAGGGTTCACAGCAGAGTTGGCACTGAGGCCAAGATAATTCAGTAGACTAAGACTATGGACACATGCATGCACCTATGACCAGTCTCCTGCCGTTCAGTGCCACTGAAGTATATCTGCACCCCCTTTCTTCTCTGTAAAGTGCCTTTAAGGACTCAGAAATCTCACTTGGGTCTCTTCCAAAGTGCATTTGAGACCTACATTCACTCAAAATGCCATGCAAGCATGTTGAGAGCAGCTCCAGGCGTCACCACCAGAGCTGGAAAAAAATCCAGCTGCTCTGCAGCAAAAGAATGGCCAAGTATGCTGTGCCACAGAGTGCCATTCAGCAAGGGACAGCGCCGACTGCTGACACATGCAACAGTTGGAAGGCAGCTGAGCCACGATTTGTTAAGTGAAAGAAGCCAGACCTGAAGCTCTGTAGCGTGTAACTACAATCCTGTGGCATTCTAGAAAAGGAGTAGGCACAGGGATGGAGAACCATGAGAGAACTGACCACAGCGGGTAGCTCTTGAGGAAATGGACACATGGCAGTGCTGTACCAAACCCACGGACCCACAGACAGTGTGACTGTCGTTGTGCACAATGAAAACAGCCCAGCCAGCTGAGCAACAGCCTGTGAAGGACTGTACTGTGACTGTGTGGATAACAGGGCACTGGTTCAGGAAGACAAACAGAGGCTGACCTGAGGCACACAGGGAGGTGCTGACTGAAGCCTACACGGTTAAAGATTCACATAACTGTAAAAACAGTGGCCCTGAGCAGGCCGGGATCCTTACAGGCACTGGCTCTCCCTCTCTGGCTGAGCAAATAGTGGAGCAGTAGTGGATGTAGGGACGTGGTTCCTTTCCAAAGAGCTGTGGTACAGCTGGTGAGCATACATAACTATGGGTCATGTCAGAACCTGGAGGTCAGCATGAACATGTGTGTAGCCAGACACATGCAGATAGGACACACGGATGAACACAGGTGTGTAGGATAGGATGGACATGCAGGTTCAAGTCTCTGTCCCTGTGCCACCCATGGATAGCCTAGTGCCAAAACTCATCAGTTTTCTAAGCACAACAGCCAGGTTTCTGGAGAGACGTTGATTCTACAGCTGGAGTAAGGAAAAGCCAAGATGGGGTTCAAGGGTCTTGCAGCGTGGGGAAGGAAGGCAGCATTAACAAATGAACAAAGATGCTATTGGCAGCGAGCCCTTTAAGAAAGGGGAAGCAGGGACAGCTCTTCCTTGCCGACTAAAGCAGTATTCTACCAATAGAGTGAGCAGGTGTGAGGGAGACAGAGTTCCATGAGAATACACCAGACAGAACTACTTCAGGCAGAAGCCACTGCAGGAAGCTACCAACAGTGGGAAAAACCAGGTATTAACACAGGCTCAGAGTGTCCTCAGAATGTTCTAGGGCCTGTGCTGGCTTTAACAGACCTACATATTCTTGGACACCTCCCCCCCCCCCCACGACCTGCTTCTCAGGGACCTAGGAAATACTATGGGTTGGGGCCTCTTTTCCTTTTTTTTTTGTGGGGGAGGGTAGGTGGTATTTTGAGACAAGGTCTCTCTATATAGTTCCTGGATGTCCTGAAGTTCACAGAGATCCTTGGGCCTCTGCCTCTGAGTACTGGGATAAAAGTTTCCTGCTTCCCCACTTTTTAAAGGGCTCATTGCCAACAGCATCTTCTGTTTCATTTGTCTGCTAAGGCCATCAGGCCCTGCACAAGAACCTCCTAAAACACACGGGACTGCAAGTGCTCAGGTATTTTCAGAGCTTGGAATATTTGTGTAAACTTCACCAGTTAACCCCCCTATTTTGAAAACAGGAACTAGGAAAAGCTCTGAAATCTGAAACTTTTTGAGAGCCGACATGACACTCTACAACTTTCAGATTTTTATTCAGGGAGTGGTGGCACATGGTTTTAACTCCAGCACCGAGGAGGCGGGTCTCTGTGAGTTCAGGTTCAGCCTGGTCTACAATGTAAGGTGTTCCAGGTTAGCCAGAACTATATAGTGAGACTCTGTCTCAAAAACCAACAAGAAATAAGCTTTCAGATTAGGGAAATTCATTGAATGCTGATAGTGGGTCCAGCAGGCACCACCCACCTATGTGACCAACGCCAGTCTCACTTGCCAAGGAGAGACAGAGACTCATGCACCCCCAGCACCACAAGGCTGGCAGTCACCACACTGGGGTTCCTCCCAAACCCAGGGCCTCAGTCTTATCCTGAACCTGGAGGCATTCTATCGAGCCCTTGAAAAGTACCGAGATCATGAGAAACACAGACCAGGGAACCGATCCCAGGGTCCCTGTGTAGCTGCTAGCATTTGCTTCCTGTCTGTGACCTTGGACACTGATGTCAACAGAGCTCAGCTGGAGGGGAAGCACAGAAAGGATGGCGGGCAGCGGGCTTTGCCTGAATCCCAACCTTAGCAGCACACCCCAGAGGGACTGCGGGTCTAAAAGAAGCAACAGTGAGCTCTGGAGATAGGCCAAGGATGTTCATGTCTTAGTGCAGTCTCCTCCATAAGACCCAGGCGCCCGACCACATAGGGACAGTCTGGCCAACGTGACTCCATTACCACGAAGTCACCCCTAATAGAGTATAAACATATGTCACCCTGTTGCAGAGATAATCTTTGATAGAAGAATGATGCTATCTAAAATATAAAAAGGATTTTACATATCAATAAGAAAGATGCAGTCAGTTCAGTAGAAAAACTGGCAGAAACCAGTGGTATATCCCAAACTGGCCTCATACTCACAGCAATCCTGCCCGGTTTCCTGAGCATTGGGACCACAGGTGTGTATTAAATACCTGGCAGTCTTTTGCTTTGTTTTCCTAACCTAAAGTTAGGAAAAACTCATAAAACCATTCTGCCCTTTTTTAAGACACACAGCAAGCCAGCCTAGCAGCCCTGGGCTGCTGCCACCTGCACAGCGGGTGGTGCTGCGGTGCTGTACTTGACTGGGCAGTGGTTACTCAGGTGCTAAAGGGTCTGCGTGCTCCTGCACTAGCCTGGAAAGAAGTGGCTTCATAATGAAGAAGGTAAAGAAATGCTAGCTGGTGCAGCTCTTGTGGTCCAGGTGCAAGTAGGGCTGGGGTCCTTCAGCCCTGCTAGATATGAAAGCACACAACCCCTTCCAGGGCCTCTCGGAGAAACCTGGACCCAAACACAGCTGAGGCCAGGCAGCCTTGGTGGGCCGTGGCCTCCAGTGCAGTGCAAATGCACCTGGGCATTCCATACCTGCAGCCCCCACTACAGGCCTCCTGACCCTCAGTGGGGACTGTAGGTGGGACTGCAGCACTATCACCTGGCTAGGAGGAGGTAGGGTGTTTATATACGTGCCAGTCCCAGGCTACCCTTCATGCCTTGTAAGACACTTGCTTGGTCCTAGCCCTATGACCAAGGCCACCCAAGTGTCTGGGCCCTGGGCGAGCAGGGACTCCTTAGGGCTGAACTTTCAGCTCTTTTGAGCCTGGGTTCTGCTTTATTCATCCCTGTCCCTTTAGCACATGGTATGGTTACCTCTGCCCACTTCTAAGTCACAGCCCAGGGCCTTTCTATCAGCTGCCTTCTGGCTGGTGTCAGCTACCTCAGATGACACCTCCAGAGAACCCCAGGGAAGAAGATGGTCCCGCCTGAGAGAAGTCAGAGCTGTCTACTTCCCAAAGGCTGGAGCAGCCCTACACTCTCTGTAAACTACAGCCAAGCTGGCAGGATGCCCCTAACACCTTTGGTTCATTGCCATTCTGCTCTAGCTAAAGACAGTCACAGGGGCCTGTCAAAAGAGTTCCCAGCAGAGGTCCCCTGCTGCTCCCTTGTGCTGCTGTGACCCACCTGAGGAGCTGGTGCCCCTGGGGCAGTGTCTTCAACCAGGTCACACCCTGGCCCCCGTGGCCATTCAGGGTGGCCACTGTCCTTCTGGTCTGCAGGCTCCAGATGTGCACCAGGCCACTCTGAGACCTGTTGGAGACAGGCAAGGCAGGGACAGGGGCAGCAGTCAGTAGACATCTTGAACTGCTCCAGACCAACACCACACACAGCCAGTGGAAGGCGATACATCAGCTGGAGGAGAATTGACTCCGAACTGCAGGTCAGCAGAGGTGGCCAGAGGGCCTGGGGTTGGGGTACTTTGTCAGAACTCAGTGGTGTGAGACAGAGGCAAAACTCTCTGCTCCTCCAAGGAGTTCCAGAGTGGACAGTGTTTCAGGCAAGCACAGAGTCTTCTGCCAGCACCTTAGGTAAGCACCATGCTCTGGGAAATCCAGTGCTGGACATCACCGTGGGCTTGGGGTAGGACTGCTGTTACTCACCCCGAGAAAAGGAGTGGGCTTTCCAGAGCTTGGGATGGTGGGCCGAAATGCAGCGTGTTCACAGGTGACTGTGTGCCTCGGAGGACAAACGTGGGACCAGGCGGTGGTGGGGACAGGGCTGCCATGTGGTAGATGCAGTCCTGGGGTGCAAGGGAGAACATGCGAGTGACGGAGAGCTCTCTATTTCTTTAGAAGGCAGCTGGAAAGGGGCATCTAGAAAGCTGTTGGCTCCGTACTCAACTTCTGCCCCTTCTGGGAAAAGGATGCTGCTGTTCTCCATCATGCAGACAGGCTCTGTGGCTGAGGAACAGCCAGCTCTGGGCATGGACCACACAGCTGCCAGAAGTGCAGCCTGTTGGGGGCTGCAGACCCCTGGCCCCTTAACTTTCTTTGCCTGCCTCAGACCCTTTGCCTGCTGGAGTGAACTGAGCAAAACAACTTGTTTACCTGTGCCTGCAGCTGCTCTGAGCACGAGACCCTGACAGCAGGGGAGTGGGTTCTGGTGAGGCCTGCAGCTGAAGGATCCCAAGAGCTGGGCATGTCTATCAGTTAAGGATCCCTATATAAGCTTCCCTGGAGCACAATAAACTTGGCACTCTTGTATCAAGGATGACTCGTGTCCCTGTATGTCTCTCTGTGTGTGTTTTTATGTTTCCAACTTAGTTCCCAGCTCGCGTACCATCCCATAGTGCAGGCGCTACAGCAGCCCACCCTTGCCTCAACTGCCAACCTGTCGTAGTTCCTGCTTGGCACCTCCAGCCCTCCCCATCCCCGAACCCCCATCTTATCTATCAGCTCTGGTATCACAAAGGTCCAAGCCTGCCCCTCCTTGGCAATCACATCCTGGGAGCCCAACATGGAGGTCTTGCTGCCTCTACAGTAGAGCACTTGCCTACCAAGCTCAAGGCTCTGGACTCCACTTCTGGCACCAAAGAAAAGGAGCCTTCACTTGGCCAAACTTGATTCAGGCTCCTGGACCTTCTTATAGGCCCACGTGAACACTTCTAGCAAAAGCTCTCAGTTTAGTGTCACCCATACCCATTATCTGTGTGCTCTCGAAACCATCTGCTGACCCTGGTCCGACGTCAGCCTGAATCCCCAGACTCCTGCCATGTCCTCCCCCCATGTTGTGGAATATATCTGTGCTGTGTGAAGATGTGTTGCTGTGACTGGTGTAATAAAGAGCTGAATGGCCAATAGCTAGGCAGAAGGCATAGGAGGGACTTCTGGGGACAAGAGAGGACTCTGGGAATAAGAAAGGTGGAGACTCCAGGAGACGTAACAGTCACAAGCCACAGGGCAGAACACAGATGAATATAAATGAGTTAATTTAAGAGCTAGTTAGGAACAAGCCTAAGCTATAGGCTGAGCTTTTATAAATAGTAAGTTGCTGTCATTATTTGGGAACTGGCAGGACAGAAAAACACTTCCACCTGACCCCTGCTATAAACCCTGACTTGTTACACTTTTCAGAGTTAGGCCTAATCTCCTTTTCCCACGAGAGCCCACGTCCTTGTCCCTATGGTGGTCCACGAGTCAGGTGGTAAAGACTGACCCTGCATACTCACAGGCACACATCCTGACACCACAGGACTGAGTCTACCAGCAGGCCTCACTGCTGTGCCTCCCCTGGGCGCCCTCCACTCTGGAGCCCCTTTTCTTTCCTCCCTAAAGTAGAGTAATGACATACCTGGAGGATGAATACCATTCCTGCCCCAGTGCCAGCCCTGTGCCCAGCACCAGCACCTGCTCAGCAGACATGTGCTTACAAATGAAGAGCTGCGCGGGGTCCTGAGAGAACTATAAGCAGCCCGACTGGATCCTGGCCCGAACTACCGAAACTTTTAATTATTTCTGTTCATTTGTTTTTGAGACAGGGTTTCTCTGTGTAGCCCTGGCTGTCCTGGAACTTTATAGACCAGGCTGGCCTCGAACTCAAGAGATCCACCTGCTCAGAGTGCTAGGATTAAAGGGGTGCACCACCATTACCAGGCCGGAACTTCTAATTATAACCACTCTGCGAATGGCAAACTCTTTAATTTTGAGAAACTGAGGCAGGAAACGATTGGGTGAGCTGCCCCAGATTCCTGGGACTGGACCTGAAATGCTCTCGAGGCATGTGCCACCAAGTGGCAGAGCAGCCAGGAAGGGGACATGTGAAAGGGCAGGACAAAGTCATCTGTCACACCCACAGAGCTGCTGTCTCAGCAGACCACGCCTCAAAGCACAGGACCTGTATTCAAGACCTGCTAGGGTCTACCTTGCAAAGAAGAAATTTCCCCCTGGACCACACATTCAGCCTTGTCTGTAGTCTACCCCCTCACAGTACCCCAGTACCTCAGCTGGCCGCTCTTCAGAGGCAGGGGTGGCCCCAAGGCCACAAGCTGGGATGAAGGTAGAGGAGAAAAGGTCAGAGGCAGATAGCAGGGGGCTGCAGGTTGTTTGTCTTTCCACTGGGCAGAGGCACAACCTACTCTACTTACGTGCAGCCTGCACAGCAGGGAGAGGCAGGTCTGCCCAACTTGGGTGGCAGCTGCAGCCATCCAAAGAACGTGGAAAGGAAAAGAACGGTGCAAAAGAGCTGGGCAGGATTCTTCCAGAATGGAGACTGGGCTTTAAGGCTGGCGTGGAATGTAGGAAGAGGAACTACAGGCTGAGGCCACACACAGCGACAAGCAGTAAAGAGGCCAGGGGGCAAAGGCTTCTGTAGCAGGCAGCCTCCCCAGTACAACCCTATCAAGCCCATCTCCACCAGCATGCCCCAGTGCCATGCCTCCACACTATCCTACGCCCTCCCTTTTCCTCTGTTACAGGAAAGGGAGGTATGGGCTTTGATCCATACCACAGTGGAAGACATACAGCAGCCAGAGCCAGGCTCCCAGGAGACCACCAGGCCCTATATGGAGGGTAGAGAAGGATGGGGGAAGGCCAGGGAGGTCTGTACCTATGCCAGACACATATCTTGTCCTACTGACCTGATGCAGGTCCTACCAGGTCAAGCCTTTTCTAGGCTAACTCTATGCTTGGACCCTGACTCCTTCAAGACCTTTCAAAGAAAACAAGGTTACCATGCAGGTACAAACTGCCAAATCCCCTCTTTTCTGTTTTTTTGGTCTTTTTTGGTGGGGGGAATAGGGAAGGAGCTTTAGCTATATAAAACTTATCATTTGCTAAACGCTAACTCTTCACAATGTCTACAGAGAAGACACGACCTACACTGTTCACAGACACACGCCCCTGAAAAGATCACAAATGCTAGAAGACTGCCTCGAGCAGGTAGTCCAAACAACAGGTTCAGAGGGCAGCTGTGGGCCCTCCAAAGCCCAGCTGTGTTCTCGCCAGATACAGGTCCACAGGCCCTAGCTCCCCCACTGCCAAGAACTTAGTCTCTTACAGCTCATTCACCCAGCAGGGAAACTCAAAGGCCAGGATAGGGGCATCCTGTCACCTGCGTTCAAGCAATGAGCTCTGGCAGGCCACCCCCTGTGGGAGGCTACTTCTGTAGGCACACGAGTGCAATCCAGATACCACACACTGTAGCCATGTTATACACACAGATGCTCACACTTATACATGCATACACACACACACACACACACACACACACACACAGATGCAGCCCCTTCAGATGTATTCCACACACAAGGGCATACAGACCCTCAGGTACACACCAGAACACATGTGTACACCACAACACACACACACACACACACACACACACACACACACACAGCCCCTTCACATGTATTCCACACACAAGGGCATACAGACCCTCAGGTACACACCAGAACACATGTGTACACTTGTGTTCACATGCACACTCATGCACATATATGTGTAAGAGTTCTCACACACACGACCCTGGGCATTGCCAGCCGAAGCTCGGCCCACACTTGCCGCCTGCCTGCGGCATGGTGGGAGTTTCCAGAGCCTCCCAGCAGAAGGCTCATTGTGAGGTGATGAAATCAAGGGCTCCTCTATTGTCTCCCCAGAAATGCAAGGAACAAACCCGTCACGTCACGCTGTTACAACAGCCGAAAAGTTCAGGCCAAAATGATGCATCAACAATTAAGGGCTCCATCATTTCAGGCAATTAAAATAAATGCTTTATTTGAAAACTAATTAATTCTGCCTACATATTTTTCCTATGACAATATCTTATGATTACTTGATTTATGACACCTAATTATTCTTTATTAATCTAATTGAGAATAATTGTATAATCCTATCTCTCCTGGCCCCTGGCCCCTGGCCACCCTGGGTGGAGGCCGCAGACCTTGTGCATGGCCCATGCAGTGCTGCTGCGTGGTGCGAGGTTCTACTTCTTGTCTCTTGCTCCACGAGTGGGAGAGCAAACGACCAGAAGACAATGCAGTGCACACTTTGGTTCTGCCTGCTCTTCAAGATGTCAAAGAGAGACAGATTATTTAAAAAATTTCCAGGGGAGACAACCTTTCCTATAAATGCCACAAGTGCCGAAGGCCCTTGGCCCACACACTATAAATAACAGCACCTCCCTGGGCAAATCATAGCAGCCTTTGTCTAGAGGCCTTGGGGTCATCCTCGCGGAGAGGTTCCCTCTCTGTGACTCTCCTGTGCTGCTAATTTCATGTCAATCTTACACAAGCTAGAGCCATCCATGAAAACAGAACCTCATCCATCAGATTGGCCTGCAGACAGGTATGTGGGGGGCATTTTCTTCATTAATGGTTGATGTAGGAAGGTCCACTTCACTGGTGGTGATACCATGCTTGTGCAGGTGTCCTGGGTTGCATAAAAAAAAAAAAGCAAGCTGAGCAAGCCATGGAAGATAAGCCAGTAAGCAGTGTTCCTCCATGGTCTCTTGAGTTCCTGCCCTGAATTCCCTCAATGACAGTCTGCAAGCAGACAACTAGGCCAGACAAACTATTTGCTCCCCAGATGCTTTTGGTCCTGGTGTTTTACCACAGCAACAGAAAGCAAACTGGGGTGGAGTGAATATATCCCAAATCAGATCTGAAAAAAGATCCAATCTGGTAAAAGGTTGCTGGGAAGTAGGTTTCCATGGTACTCTTTTGTGGTTACTAGTCACAGAAGGAAATATGCCTTTATCATGGAGACATCTAGCTGTTACCACCTTCCCCAAATGATAGAAGTCTAT